ACCAAGTACCACCTCAAGATCACCGACATGTACGGCACCCACAAACCGCGCCCGCGACCCCGGGCGACACCGCCGTCCGCCGCCGATCAAAGAAAAATGGACAAATATGACCAAGAGGTGGAGGAAGAACTCGCCAAGCTCCGCACCAACGGAGGCGAGTCGACGCAAGAGGTCGTGGCGTGGATTGACGCCGCGATTGCCGAGGCCGTTCGAGCGCACATACGGTAGACAACTTGTCAGATATCATCTCATAATGGCAACGTGGCGGCTTGGCTTTTGGCGCTTATTCTTTGGGTATGCTTGGCAGACGCACGAGTCTGTGGTTCGCTGCGTGCAGGCCATTCGCGCACTCCACGCGGCAGAAATTGACCATTGCGGCACGAGCTCGCTTGTACTCTGCTGACCGATGCGAACACGACAAGCCACGACTACACAGGGAGCAACATTAACCTTGGACACCAAGCAGCACGGCTGGGGGCGTGGTGACATTGCCAAGTGCAAGTTCGATGAACACCAACATCCAGGCTTACGATCGTCTCGGATGGATCCCTTGGTCAACTCACAGACTCACGGGTGGCAGCCAAAACGACGCATAATCGAACACCGAATGTCATCCCTTCTTTTTCTACGCAGATGGCTGGCTTTCATCCCTTTACAGTCCATGCTTCACAGTTGCAGATAACCCAACGCGACGCCGTGCATGCCAAGCGCCAATGTGCCACGTACTCTATTGGCCACCATCACCGAGTCAAAGCCCACCTCAAACACCGCAGATTATATACGACAACAGTTCATTGGTAGATGAGACAGTGTAAACACACATAGCGCACAGTTTAGCCAAAGCGGACGGCCGGCACGCACTGCGAGTACCACTCGTCCTGCTTCAAGCAGTCGAGACCGTCCTGGCACGACGTCGCACCCGTGTAGCCCTTGCCGCCGCACTGTTCCCACTGCTTCTTGGCGTTGCCCGAGGGCGCGCTCGTGGGCTTGGTCGACGGCTTGCTGGACGGCTTGGCCGAGGGCTTGTCGGTCGGCGTCGGCTTGTCGCTGCTCGGTGACGGCTTGTTGCTGCTCGGCGCCGGCGTCGGGCTCTGGCTGCTCGGCGACGGCTTCGGGTCAGAGCCGCACGAGTCGCTAATGTAAATATCGGCGCAGTTCCAAAACTGCTCCTGGCCCTCGAGGCCGACGCCCGGGTTGTTGCCGCCGGCGTACCACCAGCGAAGCACGCAGTGCGAGTCGCCGTCGCACTTGAGATCCTTGGGCAAGTTGTACTGCATCTTGAAAAAGTCGTTGCCAGCCGGGAGCGGCCACTGCTTCTCGCCGTTGGGCTGTGTCAGCGTCTGGAAGCACTCTTCGGTCTCCTTGTCGTCCTTGCCGTTGAGCTTGCAAATGCCAAACTCAAAGAAACCCTTGTGGTTGGCCGTGATTTGGATGTTGAGGTCCAGCGTCTGGCCCGGCTTGTAGCACGCGCCGACGGCCTTGGCGCCGAGCTTGGGAAAGAGACCGTACATGCCGCCCGTCTCGTGGTCGCGCGCGCCGTTGTACGGGTCGCCGCAGACACCGTGCTTGCCGCCCTTGGTGCCGCCAATGCCGCCGGCGTTGAGGCCGTTGTCGCTGTAGTTGATCGGGATGTCCTTGAACGCGGGGAGGCGGCCGATGTAGCCGCGGTGGGGCGGCATCACCATGCGCCCGTGGGCCTCGGTTTGCGAGATGGTGGCGGCGAGCACGGCAGCGGTGGCGAAGACCTTCATAGTTGTGGTGGTGTAGGCAAAAGATAGAATGAGTTGAGCAACGCCGAGTTTTGGTGTCGTCTGGATCTTGACGTGGGCTGAGAATCGATCGCTGCAATTCGAACCACATCTGGCACGCATGTGATGCGCTGGCATTTCACATGGTGCGGACGTCCCACCTCTTGGTCGTCCGTCTGTCTCTCTGTGATAGATACACTCTACCTGTGCCTCTGGTATTTAGCTATATGACAGCGGCATATTATGAGAACACAGACGAATTATCGAAAACCAGAGGCAATCAACTCCCAATCACCGTGTGCACGAGCGTGGAGCGTGGCCATGTCAACGCTCACAGAAGATCAAGGCGGCGGTAACGCACCGTAGAAAGGCCGCCGTCGGAACAGTCTGCTGAACGAGATCTTTCTTCCTCGAGGAGACCACGACCAAGTGCAACCTGAGACGGCGTGTGACGAGGGGATTCACTATCGTATTATGTTGCATGGCTCCTTGGATGGGATATCGTTGCTCGCGCGATAGCGCTGCGTCGGTCAACAGCGAATCGTTCTAGTATTGCGAGAGATCACTGTCCGCTATCTCTTACTGCCCAAGTAAAAATCGCTTTCAACAAATTAGATTCAAGGAAATGCATAGTCCATTGACAAATGGTCGATTTTACATGCACCCAGGATGCAAGAACAAGCACGAACACGGCGCCGACTCACTGAAGGATGAAGAAGAGGGCAGACACAGATAACAAATACAATGTACCAAGCGCATCCACGCGGCAGGTTCGATGCGACGCCCCACTGCATAGATGCGCACGTCCTCCGAACGCTGCACGTTCGAATGCGCGAGCGACCACCGCGGTGTGTGCGACGTTTTGGATCGGCAGCTCACATTACTCACTCGACCTCGTACCCTAATATGTGTCTTGCAGTGCTCTGGCTGGCATTACGGCGCCGATCTGCAAGTGCAATCTGAAAGTGCAATGTGGCGCGGCGCCAGATCCAGTCAGACCCTAGGACATGGCGCCAGATGTGTTCGATGCAAACAGTGGTACAAACTGGAACACGAATCGTCCGACTCTGAACTTTGGATCTGCACGACAGCATCGCGTTCCGGCTCAAGAGTCGCGCCAAGTGCCAACTTGTTCATTTTCCAATTTCCAGCACGATGCTCAAGACGACGGCCCTCCTCGCAGCGTTCCTCGCTTGCGCCACGACGCCCGTCGAGGCCCACGGCCGCATGCTCCACCCGCCGCACCGCGGCCACATGTTCCGCCTTCCGCAGTTTAGCTTCTTCCCCGAAGACTATGACGACGATGGGCTCAGCGGTGGTGGCATCGGCGGCACCAAGGGCGGCAAGCACGGCATCTGCGGCGACCCGTACAACGGCGCGCGCCATCACGAGACGGGTGGCAAGTACGGTCTCTTCCCCAAGTACGGCGCCAAGGCCGTCGGCGCGTGCTACAAGCCGGGTGCGACCATGGACATTGACATTCAGATCACGGCCAACCACAAGGGGTACTTTACCTTTGGCCTCTGCAAGCTCAACAGCAAGGACGACAAGGAGACCGAAGAGTGCTTCCAAGAGCTCAAGCAGCCCAACGGCGACGCGCAGTGGAAGCTGCCGGGCGGCAACAAAAAGTTCTCGATGCAGTACAACCTCCCGTCGGGTGTCAAGTGCGACGGCGACTCGCACTGCGTGCTTCGCTGGTGGTACGTCGGTTGGAACAACCCGGACGACGACATCAACGGCCAGGAGCAGTTTTGGAACTGCGCCGATATCTACATTAGCGACTCGTGCGGGTCGGAGCCCAAGCCGACGGCGTCGCCTGTGCCCACGGACGTGCCGTCGCCGGACGACAACCCGGACGACTCGGACCCGACGACCAAGCCTAGCGAGAAGCCGACGCCGAAGCCTAGTGACAAGCCGACGCACAAGCCCACTGACAAGCCGACGCAAAAGCCCACTGACAAGCCGACGCAAAAGCCCACTGACAAGCCGACGCAAAAGCCCAACGACAAGCCGACCCAAAAGCCCACTGACAAGCCGACCCAAAAGCCGATTGACGTCAAGGACGCCAAGAAGGCGTGGGAGCAGTGCGGTGGCAAGGACTACACGGGCAACGTGGCCTGTGCGACGGGCCTCGAGTGCATCAAGCAGGACGAGTGGTACTCGCAGTGCGTGCCCACCAAGCGCTTTGGTTGATCGCTCCAATCGGTGACTGCGTCATAACTGAATGTAAATACAAAGACTGTGCACACTACTTTGTTGGTTGCTGGGGGTGATTGAGCGGGGATCGACCGATCGCTGTGTCCAGTGATGCTACTGCTCAACGCGTACTACGCCGCTGACATTGACTTGGTTCGCTCGTTGGAGATAACGAATGGTCATAGCTTGCTGCGACAGGACGTTGTAGGCGGTTGTTGTCGACACGCGAGTAGTTCTCCTCGCATAACTTGTCACTTGGAGTTGTCTTTGCATTGATTGTTGTGCTAACGGTTAGCGAAAATGAGTTGCAACGCTCGTTCTCTTGATCTGTGCAACGGTGTTGTCAGTTCTTCAGCGCTTTTGGTATATATTACCTAGACTTTTGCTAACAATCTCAGTTGACACTTCTGACTCTTTGACAGTCTATTCTACTAGTAGTGCAAACTTTGGTGCTGGCTAACGTATGAAAAAGAACCATGTTTGCGCTACGAATGGACATCTGCTATGCTATTCCAACACGAGTTTCATTGATCGTGTCTCGTTGACTGGATTTTTATTGGTTCATCTCTCGGCTAACTCCAGTGCGCTTCATCGAGCCACACACAATTGCTTTTCTCTCGAGCTTTCAACGCCCTCTCAAAACATGAACACCACCCCGTACGAGCTTGAAAACGGCAAGTATGCCACCAGCCAAGGTGAGAACGTCGACCAGAACGGCATCCTCATTGGTCAGTGGAAGGCGGGGATCTTTGCGTGCTTTGATGCGTGCGTCCCCAACTGTTTGATGGCGTGGTGCTGTCCGTGCATCTCGTACGCGCAGACGCGCCACCGCTTGAACGGGTCCTTCTGGAGCTCGTGCTGCCTCTTCACGCTGTGCCTTGGCCTCCCCATTCTCTGCATCCGCGGTGAAGTCCGCGACCGCTTCCAGATCCCCGGCAGCTGCTGCGAGGACATTTGCTGTGCGTGCTTGTGCCCAACCTGTGTCCTCGCGCAGGTTGCGACGCACACGGAATCGTACACGCCGGGCTCGTGCGACTGCAGCCCCAAGGACGTCTTGCTTGGCTACAACGCCTAAGCCAACAATTCGCTTTGCAGTATAGCGTGACGGCGGTCCATACTACCTTGCTAACACATATATGCTATGAAAAAATGATGCGTGCGTTATAAATGAATGACTATGGCATTGGAACTACGAAAAGCCCGCGTCATCGACAGCAAGTCTATTGGTGGCATCGCGCTCGATCTTGAATTGACGCTGCTCGACAAGCAAATCCATCGTAAAGCGAATCGTCTTCCATGTGAACCTTGTCCCACGGGTCTCTGCGCGGGCGTGGCGAAGCGCCGCGTTTTCCCGCGCCGCAAGTGCACCGTCCACCGTCGCAGCCAACTCGCCAATGACAAGGTCGATTGCAGCCTCAAGAATGTTGTGGATGACCTTGTCCATGACGCCGTCGAGCAGCATATCGGCGACCGTCTCGGCGGCGCTCACGAGATATTCTGTGCCGAACACGGAGAACGCGAGCCGCCCCATATTGATTGCGGCCATTTTGTCCGAGATCTTTTGGCGCACATGGTGTACAAGTGTCCGGTTTCGGAGCGTCGTTTCCCACATGACGATCTCGACCATGCTCTGCCACGTAGGACAGTAAATGCGCTCGCCAGGGTGCACGACAAGTGTTGTGCGATACACGAGCGCCGGGTGCGGCACAAAGAGGTACGTAAAGACAATGGCTATGATGTCGCTGTTGGTGTCGTTGCGGAGCTTGATGCCCATCGTAGTACTTGTTGCTTGGTGAAGAAATTGAGAAGTGAGCGATGGAAAGCCTGCAATCTGCGCAGCCATAACCCGATACGCTGATAATTTACGGACAAGTATATCCGGAAGTATCAATGTGTCGAAGGTCGGGGTTCTGTGACTGAATCGGTTGTTGCGGGTCCTCACGATGAGGTAGTCCCTCAACGCCGCAGTACTTGAATTTTTATATAACAGGAATGGCAACTTCGTCCTGCGTCTGAGTGAACATGCTGCATGTACCTGCAGATCGGATAGTTTGATAGTTCCAGATAATAATGTTTATCCGGACGTAGCGATATATCAAGTGTACGGCTACTGAGACCGAATTCGTTGTTGCGAGAGCGCTTTTGCGGACAGTGCCCCAACGCCGCAAAACTGAAACATTTGCAGTGCCAGAAGTGGCGGCTTGTAGTCTGCGTATGAGTGAAGCCATCGCGATGTGGGATGCACGAGGGTCCTCACGCTCACTGGACGCTTTTTGGGTTGACTGCGACGTCGCTGCTCGGCGACCCTGCTGTGCAAGCTTGGTCTCGACTGGTTTGGTCAGCATTTCGAGTACAGCACGGAAGCATACATCAACAACGTTCTAGCCTGTACAACGACTTGCTCGTTTGATCGACCCCTTTTTGTTTGGGGAGCGTGGAAGTGACAGGAAAGGCCCTGTGCAAGGACACATCCCAAGTGTATTCCGTGCACTCGGGGCCTTTAAATATTGATAAATTTTATCAGTACTCAACAATACATTGAGCATATACTAACATTTCATTTACAGTCATGAAGCTGGTCTTATAGTGTAGCGGTTATCACGTCTCCTTGACGTGGAGAAGGTCCCCGGTTCAAGTCCGGGTAAGACCAAACATTTTTATTTTGCGCCTGTCGGTCATTGGACACAACGGATTTTTGGCATCGACAACGCGGCGACTGGGGTTGCATCGCACGTGAATTGAACTTGGTTCATGTAAAGCGTTTTAAATGCGTGACTACAGTTGCACGAGCAATGACCACTGCACCGCCACTACTCGGTCCTCAGGTTGCCCGTAAACTTGTTGCCGTAGACGATCGTGGCTGTGGGCTGAATGCCCAGTGGGTTGGGCGTCGAGTGCTCTGCAAACCAGTGCGAGACGTTGCTCGTGACGAAGCGGAAATACTGCCGAAATTGCGTCGTGGCCACCGGAAGGGACTCGTGTGGCGTCCGGTCCGTGATCCAGTACAGCTCGTTGGCTTGCGGCTCGTAGTACCCATCACGGTCGGGGTCCAAGACACCGTGGAGCACGTCCGTGTCCCCATGAGCACCGACAATATCGTTCTCGTCCGCAACGACCGTGTTCCAGACCTAGTCGAATAGACACATTCGTAACCTTACCCTAAGGATGAACGTACCCCGCAAGACTTGGCAACCGTGGAAGCCATATAGATACCACCTTGGAGTTGGTGGTATACAACCCAGCCACGTCCCCAGCGAATCTCAGCCCACTCGTGGTGCGCTTCGCCAGCGCCCAGAAAGCGCTGGAGCTTGGCAGCGGACGGCGCTTCGACGTGGAGTCCCGGGCGACGTTGGGAGGTGTCGGCCTCGACGATGCCTTCGTGGATCGTGAGGTATCCTACTTGACCGTTCTCGTTGTGGTGGCGACAGCGGTTGAGCAGCGGTGCATAGCGCTGGCACTCGGGCGGTAGTGTCGCCTCGGCTTGGCCAATGATGAAGGGCATCATGTTGACCTGGAAGGGCTGAGGCTGCCTCTCGCCATCGACAATGTGCGTGAGCGGCGGTGGAAAGGTAACGAGTTGAGAGCGGTGCGGGATCGGTGTGTCGCGTGGTGTGTCAAAGGGCAGAAATACATTGCCAAGTGGGACGTAGCCGCGCTGGTCAGTTCGGAGTTGCGCCCGCCAGATCGCTCGGAGATGGTCGACGATGGTCTTGAGAATATCGTTTTGGCCTCGCAGTCCACGCAGCGAGCTTCCGTCGTCCAGCGTACCGAGCAGGAGAAGACGTACGACCGAGTTGTGCCACAATGGCGCCGGGGTCATATCGACAATTCAAATATTGTTCTTCCGTCGCAGATCGAAGCTCCGAGCATTGTGATTGGTGGAGAAAGAGCCAATCGCATGCTCGCCGAGTGGATTTACTTCTGGCTTTTCTGGGAGTGTACTAGTACAGGCACACTGGAGGTGGCACGAACAGTCATGGGCCATGACTCATGGCCCGTGACTGTACCAGATATCATTGCACATGGGTACATAATAGTTTTGGACCATGTACCTGTACCCTGGTGTTACCGGCATGTCTTTCGCCTTCAAGCTGACGCTAGAGCCAGCGATTGCCCCTGAGAGC